TCAGTCTTTATGATAGTCGATACTTGATCTATCTCTTACTGTTACATCCCCGGGCAATGCCGGGCTCTACTACCAGTATTAAATATTTTATACACATTTTAGAATGTTACCGCCTCTTGCGATAGATATTTAATTTTTTTTTATCATTTCACCTCAAGCAAGGCGATAAAGCTAAGACACAAGGGGTTATTGAGTGTGAAAAGAATATGAGAAAAAAACAATATTAAGAAGAGAGAACAAATAAAGAAGAGGAATTAAGACATGGTTGACATTTCTGACATGAGTGTAATAATGTAAGCTGTTGGTTTCAATCCCTGGAATGACTACCAAAAACATCTTCCTTCCAAAATTTGTAATAATTAATAATAAATTAAGTAATAATAATAAGCAATCTAGCTGTTAGTTCCAATCTCTAAAATGACTGCCAAAAATATCCTCCTTCCTAAATTTGTAATAATTATAATCAATTAATAATAAATTAAATAAATTATAATAATAAGCAATTTAGCTGTTGGTTTCTGATGTAATGGAATAACTTGTCACCACCATGAGTTACTACACTATAGGTAGTAACAACCTATAAGTATCGGTAAGTCAACAGACTACAGAGTTTAGCTGGAATCTTTTCAGCTATACGGTTGAACTCTCTGCCTTTGAGCAGAGAGGAATCTGGACGAGGCTATACTGATGGGCAGAATCTCGTTCAGGGAAGTAGACTGACCTGATCACATTTATGCGGGTTCTACAGGGAAATTTAGCTGAGCCTACAGGTTCAGATGACCTACATTAAACTCAGCCTTGTGCCACATCTACCCTCGTGGGGTATCTAGTAAATACCATCTAGCTGGAATCTTTTCCAGCTGTGCTGGTTAAACTCTTTGCCTCTGAGCAGAGATGATCCCCTGATGAGGCTATGTTGAAGGGCAGAGTCTCATCACAGGAAACAGCTAACCGACCCTGTTTTATATGGAGTCTACAGTGAATTTTTTGCCTGAGCCTACAGGCTCAGATACCCCACATTAAATTCGACCCTTTGCCACATCTGATCACATGGGGGGGGGGGGTTAGTAAATACACTAGCTGGGATCTGTTGAGTATGACTCAGATCTCCGTGAGAACTATCGACCTTCCAATAGTAGCACTCACTACTGGATTGACTTACAACGTTCATGCGCATAACTGTTACTTTATTTCTTATGGTACTGGTTTTCACAATAAACCTTATTTTATCCACTGTGTTTTTCAAGTATATATTCCTATTAGCATGGAATATAACAGTTTCAATTCCTGGAATTATTGCTAAAAACATTTTCCTTCCTAAATCTATAGACAAATCTTAGAGACGCATGCTGGGATTTCTTCCTAACCTTCTTGGTCACATCCTTATATTTTCTTTCTTAAACTCAGAACACTACGCACACTCAACTATTCCTTTTGTGTGTGAACACCATTTTTACTTTGTGAATTTCTTGCTTCATTACTGTTGCTTTGCTTACTTTTGTCTCTCTCACACACACACACTCACATATATGTTTGTTTAGTAGTATTTTGCCCTGTTCTTTTTCTTATTATTGTTTAGTGGAAACTTCCATTTGTCAAGTATTTTTGCAACTAAACCATGCTGAATTACACTACAAAAATCTATGTTGTTAATCTCATATTTAAAAGAGTACATTCAATAAATTGTTGTTTCAAACCTGTCTAAATCTTGTTATATAGAGATTTACTTGGATTAGTATCTTGTCTTAGGTAGTATACTCAAACAGTGTATATGATAATGACAAACATTGTATAAATCTGTTGTAAAAGATTTATACAATTTTTATGTTCCTTCAAATCAAGCAATCACTGTTGTATTCCTTTTTGGATATTCTTTGTTGCTACTAAATTATAATGAATCTTAATCTGAGTTAAAAGAAAAATTTACTGGTATTTTAAAATAGGATAGTTTAATAAACTCAACTGTATTCATATATAATTGTTTACTTTTAAAAATCTTTGTTTTCACATATATTAACATTAGAATTTTCTAAATATTTCAGCAATGGTGCAGCTGCAATAGGCTAGAGAAAAAATATATTTCAGCCTTCTTTAAGAATCTTACAAGATATCTCAGAGTAATAACAGAATTGTTTTTAATTCATAATGAATTTATAATATTCATACATTATTAAATGTTGGTGATGGTGATTTTGCATCAAAATATATTCTAAATTTTGTATTCTTTGGTATGTGATTTGTGTAAACTACTAGACTACAGAAAAAGAAAATTGTAATAGCTGTATCATTATAATATGAAAAACAGCTCTTAGCAAAGTATTATTGATTGTTGTCTTTTCAAACAAAACTACATAATACATACAAGTGGTTGGTTGACTGCATTAAACTCACCAAGCAAAACTGAACTCTAAATGGCTATATTTAGCATGCAGAAATGAATATGGCTTTATGACACTACACCTACATAATAGCTATATAATATCCCATAAATGTTTTCAGGTTATTTTTTATTACAAAAACCATTTTTAATCAAAATATTCAAGATTTAAAACTGCAACCTCATCGCATTCAAGTGTAGAGTTTTCAAATGCTGTTATTTGCCAAAGAATGTTCTTGAATTAAAATAAGCAGGGGTATTTAACAATTTGAGGTATTTTACATTCTAACAAGCCTCTTTTTATCATTATAAAACTGTAAATGAAATTTAGGAAAGTAATCTAATATGTAAAGGTAGTAATCTTTCTGTTTCAGCAGACTATGGAGTCTGTCAGGGTGATTAGCTAATACTTGTTACAGGCACATTTCTTCAATACCCATAGAACCAAGTTATGGATTATACTGCAACTATTCTTAGTGAACTTTAGTTACAATTTCTGGGAAATAACATATACTGTGACATGATCAGTGGTTGAACAAGAGCAGTATGCTCAAACCCCCAGTCATGATGACTTTACACAAGCACCACCATTGATGGCTTACAGTTCCATCTACCCAATGTCATTCACATGTGTAGCGGACCCCCTTGGAGGGTGGGCACAATATGAAAACGGCCCGAGTGCCCCGTATTGGTATGAGGTCAGCAGAGGCCTGCTAACATTTTTGAATTAAAGATATTTGACAAGGTGAAACAAAATAGGTAACAGAACAAGGATATGTATGATTAATGCTAAGTTTATTTACAAAGCAGAGGCCATGGGTTAGATTGGTTTTCTATTACTAATAGAAAGGTGATCGGACTGGGCGTGTCAGTGGTTAGAGTTGAGGTGCAGATGTTCCAGTCAGGTCGATGGTTGGCAGTTGAGATGCAGATGTTGCATACATCTGGTTGAGGTTGGTGCTGAAACCTCCCGTAGTTATTATAACCGATAGTATACGGGAAAGGTTATTCAAGTCGAAGTTAAGGGAAGTCAATCGCTGCAGGTCATCACAGGTAATTGCTACTGGTTGTTGCAGATGATCGCTGCTGGACGATAATTGATCACTGCTGGTTGGCTGGTCAGGCTTTGGAATGGATGTGTTGGGGAGGAATGGTATCAGCAACAATAACTGGGAAGCTGGCGTTGTGTTGATGTTGGGCATATTGAAAGTCCCGTGTTGGTGTTGCATATCTGCTGGTCAAGTCTGATATTGAAGCCTCCCGTAGTAATTATAACCATAGTGTACAGGAAAGTCATGGATGACATGCAGCAGAAGTGGGGATAGAATGCCGAGAATCAAACATGCGCAGGAAGCCAGAATAAAGATAAGAGTAAAAAGAAAAAGAAAAACAGATCCAACTTGTGTCTAGTTGGCAGACAAAAAAAAATGGGTATGTAACTTAATACGCAGCATGGGCAGGCGTCCTGGCCACAAAGGCCAGGAGCTTGTGTACCAACCCCTGAATTCAGCGAGAAGTCACTGTTATAATAAGAGGGGCCAACAACAGCCACAGGTCTCGCAAAATACTAAAAATCTCTCAAAAAAATAAGTAGAGATTTGCTACGGAAAAACGGTCTAAAAATGGTTAAGAGTTGTGTTGCAACTAGGTTTGTAACACAAAAAGAACTAAAAAAGTAATTAGCTCAATTCTAAAATGAAATGAGACTAAATTACACAGTGTGTAGGGAACACAATCAAAAAGGTCAAGATTGAAGTGCCCTGCTCATTCCCATTTAGGGAGTGGCCAAAGGCAGCTGCGACACATGGCTTGGACCAACCAGTGGTTTTCAGTTATTTTCCAATTATGCCACATCTGGGATTTTCTCTCCAGGTCAGTATTATCAAAAAGTCACCAAATTGACCATAGTACGATTCAAAACATAGTCAGATAGTCAGAATTATTATACTTTAACCATCTGACCAGGTGCAATAATGCCACAGTATTAGCATAAAAGAGACGTGGATGCTAAACAGTTCAATGTCTTCCAAATTAGATGCCTCAGAACTCTGCTCCATATCAAGAACAGAGACTATATTTTACCAATAATCTTAAAAAAAAAAAAAAAAAAAAAAAAAAAAAAGAAAAGAGAAAAACAACTAAAAGTAAAATATTTACAGCAAAGATTGAGGGATGTGGGATTTTTTTGGTCAAAAGAAAAATAAATTATTTTAATAAAGAAATGTTCATAGTTATATTTTATAATATGTGTAAGCAAATTAATATTAGGTTCTGTCTCTAAGAGAAAAATCTCAACCAAATTTGATTTTGACATCTCCAATTTGTAATTTGCATGTTTGGCTGTTCTTTTTGCTAACAACCATGCATTCTGACTTCTTGCAATTGTAGAATACTAAAGAACACGCTGTAAAAAACAATAAGAATAGATGGAATGAGGGTACTAGCCCAAGTAAATTGTGGAATAATAACCCCAATTCATTTTAACATGAGATGAGAAAGAAAAAGAAAATTTTCTTACCTGAAGTGTTGGAGGACAAGCTTTGAGAACTTCAAGCATGAAAAACACATTCTGTGATTCCTGAATAATAAAGTTTGTTTCTATTTCAAATTCTCCACCAACAAGCTGAAAAAGAAAAAAAAAACAGGAATTAAGAAAACAGGAATTAAGAAAACAGAAGATAATGATTGACATTGAATTTAAATTTTTAAAAATCAAAGTTGACTTGAAAGCAACAGGCAGAAAAAAGTTCCACAAGTAAAAATTGAGAGCGAAGAAACTTAACATAGAACTTACAGTTACATCAAACCATTTCAACAGTAAAATGATGAGATCTTTGCATTTTATCTAGAATTTCTAAATACATAACTAAAGCACCAGAACAATATTCAATGTATGGGTGAATGGTAAACTTATAAATCTGTAAAATAAATTCTGGTGAGAAAAATTGTCTAGCATGTCACAACTTTCCTAGCAGCAGACTCAGCAACTAATTCAACACAATCTTTCCATTTCATGTCAGTGGAAAATGTTAGCCCAGGAAATTACTCATTGTATATAAATATGTATGTATTTGGATATAGATATATGATTTTTAATTTAAAAATCTTGTAAATTTACAAAAATATCTTACCCTATTTTCTTGCAATATTTGTAAGCTCAGTTTTTGCTTCATACAAAAAATACTACAATAAAGGCTCAGTTTAATAAAACTTGATTGTAATTCTACTGTTGTCACTATTGTGGTTTTTAGTATTACATTTGTTTATGTTATGTTTTTTCCTTGAATAAAATTTTACATAATTTAAATTCATTATGCAATCAACTGTTGAGCAAATTTAATATTACAAATAAAACATGTCATACTTTATCAAGTAAATTTAATAAAATGTCAAGAATCAATTAAAATATATTACTGCTTAATTATAAATAATTAAGCAGTAATATATTTTAATTGATATTATTGTAATTAAATTTAACTGATATTATTGTAATTAAATATTTTAATTGATATTATTGTAATTAAAATTTGAAGAAAACTTAAAAATAATTAATTTTCCCTTAATTATTTTTCTTAAAGTTATTTTTTATTAATATTTAATATTAAACTTCAATTTTTTATTATAAACGTTTTTAAATTTGTTTTTGCATAGGGATAAATAATTTCACAGGTTTAAGTTCTGCTTAAATGAAGTGTTTGAGCATAATGACATTGTTCAAACTGCAGATCATGATAGATTATGCATTTTATCCTAGAAACTAGAACTAAGGTCTGCTCAGCATAGTTCCAATATGAACCACAGGTGAGATCTCTTGGTATTGAGCAAACACACATATGCCTGATGAGCAGGTGTCTGTGACAGAGACTGGTTAGCCACCCAAGAAAATGAGAGCAGAAGGTCCATATATACATACATACATACATACATCAGAATTATTGAAAACCACAATATTTAAGTTAGTGACTATTTTTTTAAGTAATCTGCAAATAAAAAAAAACAATTTTTTTTTTTAAATATACTAAGTCTATAGGTGAAAATAAAATAAAGAGTTTCTTTGTTTCTTTTTACAATCCTATATACCCACACAACAACTTTAGTGAAGAGGTCCTGTACAATTCAATTATCAGCTATTTAATGGAATAGAGATGCTGAATATAACATCAGTCAGGTAAGTAACAAATTTTATATTAATCATATGTTAAATCTAAATAATTATGTCACTTTTGTCCTTCTGTACAATAACTTTTCTTCACATAAACTGTCAATACATGATAAAATCATCACCTGCCAATTGACACAAAATGTTATGACCTACTTTGTCTTATTTTTAAACTACATCTTTTCGGCACAGAAACTAAGTAATGCTTGTTTCAAAATATTTTAAATAGACATTATAATTTCTAATTTTCTTAAAATAAATTTTGAAAAAATTATAATTGATTTTTAAAAGAATTTATAAAATGAAAAAAATGGTTGACATGATTGATTATCTGTCAATTTTGCTGACTCAAAAAAAAAAAAAAAATTTCAAACATGTTAGGAATGATTAAAAAATGTAAAAAAATACCCAAAATACTTTGATCTTTCCTCTTAATAATAACAAACATTTAGACAAAGTTTTGTTTTGGCATCTTTTTCATCATGCTATGCTCTTTTTTTAGCGATCTCATGGAAGTACCTATAGAGTTTTGTATCCAAACATAAACAAAAAGAATTTTTACAATGGATCTTTTATGAATGCAAAAGATAACAGGCACAGGTATAAATTTTGCTGAAGAATGTAAATTTTTCTTTAATAAGATTTTTCAAACATTCAGGCCAGGAGACAGAAATAAAAAACATATACTGTTTAATAAATAAACAGAGTATATAACACAAATACAAGTATTGACTAAAAATAATGTCTTAAGTGATAACTATGAAGATGAGATGCTCCAAAGATAATGCTTTCTATTCTATCCAGAGAAAGCACAACAGGTAAATGGAGCATGATGTCACTGTTGCATAGAGTAATTTTTCAGCTACTAATTCCTTTTTTCTGACATAGTCACTAACATTGGCTGTGCATTTTGCCAGTGATGAACAAGGTCATTTTGTGGGTTGATAATTGTGTAGGGTAACCCAGGACATGGTTTGTCACAAGCATTAATGTTGCCACTAGTGAAACATTATGCAGTGCCTAACACAATTTGGTCTCTGTAAATGTTGACCATATCAATAAATGTCGATGGGTGTCATTTTTCCTGTATACAGGAATTCAATAACACACCTCTGCTTCGTACACACTTTCATGTCAGATGCTATTTTACCATACTACCATTTAGAGACACTATTTGTATCAAGGCAAAAAAATTGCAGGAAGGTTTGAATGCAATGAACTTGACTAGAATTTGAAAGCTCTCCGATTTCTTTATTCTAAGCTGCTGTCCATTATACAGTTATATCTGCACAATAACACTGTTGAATACAGTAAGCTACAAAACCTTATTTTTTCAGATAAGTCACTACTATCGGTTCAGAATTTTCACCAGTGATGATCAAGAGCATGCATGATATGCTCATAAAAAATATATGCTAGTGTAAGTGACCCACACATTATTGTTGCCACTGGTGAAACACATTACACAGTATCTAACACTGTTTGATCTCTGTAAATGTTGAGCAAGTAAATAAATGTCAATAGGTATTTTTTTTAATCAAGTTCACCCCAGGCAAGGCAGTAAAACCAGTAAAACACAATGAGTTAATGGGTGTGGAAGAATCAGAAAAATAGAAACATTACTAAGGAGAGTAATATAAAAAGAAGAGTAACCAGGACATTAAATAGTGATTGATATTGCATTTAAATTTTTGAAGATTAAAGTTGGTCAAAAACATGGAGCTGGAAAAAAGTTCCACAAGCAAGAAGTGCAAGAAAAGAAACTTTTAGCTTAAAACTTAGTTACATCTAATCAACCCAACTGTAAATTAGTGGAACCTTGTCACCAGTCTAGGTACCAAAGCAAAGTGCTGATCAGAGTAGTTGCTATGAAAGTATTTATAGAAAAGGTACCTTTATGGTAGTGGAAAAGTAACTGAAGATGCCAGATCAGGACCAATGAAATTACAGATCTTTCTTTGGATTTTATCAAGGTTCTCTAGATATATAGCAGGAGCACTAGACCATGTGTGGTATCAATACAAGCATGGACAAATGGTAGGCTTATAGATATGTAAGATAGATGCTGGAGAGAAAAATTGTCTAGCACAACACAGTGGACAAACTTTCTTAGTAGCTGACCTAGCAATGGATTCAATATAGTCTTTTTACTTAATGTCTGCCGAGAACAGTAGCCTCTGAAGGCGCAACGAGTCACTCTCCTGGAAGTTAGCATCAGCCATACTGAAGGAAAGCAGAAAGAGTTCTCTCAGATGATTAAGAGATATTATCTTTACATTATTTTTCTGAATTTTTGTAAGATTGCAGGATAAAGACTCAAGTAGTCCCATTTTTATATGGTATGGAACATTAAAGCAATTGCTATTTTGCCATTTTAATATAAACAGCATATTTTCATTTTATATAGGGAATCAAATACTGACTTTTCAAGCACTTTTTTTTCCTCAACATTGATAATTCTTTACAATTCTAGAATAAGAAAAATACATTCACTCCAAGAAAACAAAACCCACACACTCTAATAAAACTTCTTTTATGTGCCATGTCCCTTCAGGACGTAGGCGATCATGGCTCTCCACTTGTTTAATCCCGCTAATATAACTAATGTATGCATAATGTATCAGAAAGCTCAAATCTACTTTGTTCAGTAGAATATTTATTTTTAAATTATACAAAATCCTAGTAGCATATCATTCTGTGAATTTATCTATTAATAATATTCTATCTTTGTAAATATTGTAGAAATCTTTTCTCTCCTTTTGATTCAAAAAGAATATATTTTATTAAAGAGAATCTCATTCTGATCATTTTTAATTTCTTTAAATTAAACTTCATAATTTTATTCATATTCAAAAGATATATAGGTATATCCGCCAGTGATTGGAAGCAGCATCTATACAACCATAGACGCTCTTTTAGATTATATATTTTAAAATATCTTAGTACTTTTATTAGGAACTATAACTATCAAATGTTTAAAATTACTTTTAATATTTAAAATTTTAATCTACCAGTAGCTGTTTAAATAATATTTGTTAAAGACTCTATACAATCCGAGCTTTAAATGAAAACGAGCAATTTGCTTCCTAAACACTAACTCTAAATGATAAATTTTGAGGTGGCAAAATTTTGGTTTATTTCCTTTAGAATTGAAGTTGCATATAAAATAAAACAAAGATATTTTTCTAGAAAAATCATGTATAATAAAACTGATCAAAAATTAAATGAGATTAAGTAGAATTAACATCTTCTAAAACCTAAGGTTTATCCTTAGTTTAAAGTAGGAATTAATTTCTGACCATGATTTATACAATTAATAAATTTGAAAGTACAGATCCAAAAGCAAAAATATATTTGATTCTACTACAACAATGTGGTCATATGCACGCTGAAATCAGTATATATATATATATATATATATATATATATATATATATATATATATATCTGTATATCTTAGTAAC